ATTTATAGTACTATTCATGATATCAGTTGTGTTATTATGATATCAGTTGTGACTTTTGTATTAAAACTCATTAGCGACAATTTTTGTAGTAAAATACGTGGAACCCTCAGTTTAGGTGTTAGTACAGTTTTACTCATAGTTTTGACTGTGAGCTGTTGCTACTATAATCTTAACCCCTTGATTGTAAACTACACGGTATATATGCACCACTTGAGCTCACATAAAATTTATACAACTCTAACTATATGGTAACACTTTCTGTGATAGGAAAGATATGTCACTGTTTGACGATTTGGAGTGACTTGGTTTATTGCATGTTACTACCTTCTGAATGTCTAAACTACTAGTATAAATAAATTTGAAACTTTTGACAAAACTCTTTCATAAATGAAATTTGCTTTGTTAAGGTTAAACAGTAGCGATTAAAATATATACGAAGAGTGTGTATACCTTATTAGAATTTTAGAGAGTGATTTGTTGCTCAGCAGCTTCCTTTGTAGCCAGGACAGCATCAAATCATTTTGTATCTAGAGACAGCGATATTAAATGTAAAGGTTAACTGAGGATACATATACAGAGATGTTTGTTGCTTGAGTATCAGAACTGCATATATATAGTCTCTCTCTCTCTCTTTCTGAAACTGTCATTGGCAAAGCCATCTGCAGGGTATTGTTTCCTTTCAGTGAGAATATCAGAGTTGTGCAAGTAAGAAAGCACTAGTAGAAACAGGGAACAGGTTTAAAATTAAGCTACCTTTAAAGACCCAGTTCTAAAGACCTAGATTTACTTGTTGCTGCAGAAAATAGTCAATACTGACAATGTAAAATGGTGCAGAATTTGGTTTTAAATTGCTAATTCCTTTATAAATGAAGATTGAAGCTGTCATATGTGAATTTTGAAACATTCTTCTGTCTCCAGCCTTCTCCAGACTTCATGCAGTTAGCTTAGAACAACACATCTCTTCATTTTGTCTGGTGTGGGAGGTGTATTGTGTTTGCATTCTCCATGTCTCTGGTCTGGTGTTAACAACGAGATGTCTGTCAGACAGATTTGTTACTGTGTTTTTGCCCATCATGGCTGTTTTGGAGAAATATTGGCAGGGGTAGTTGAATGAAGAAGTAGCTCTTCTTCCGTAACAGATACCTTATCAACAACCCCATTCCTAAATCATCCCCAGAATAACCAACAACTAAAAATGTTCTCTAACAATATTGTTTGTCCAGAACAAGATCTATTTGGACGTACTTACTTGATAACAAAGGTTACATCAAAAAGCTTTGGGCACATCAGTTTAAAACTGCTGGACAACATTCATGAATACTGTACGTGTACATAATTTGGCGTATTCAAAATTTAGCGCAGTCTCTGGGTATGGAGTTGTCATGAATTACCGCTACATATGTCGGTGCAATATATTGTATTTATAAATGATTTCTTAGCGGTATTCATAAATTAGATTAAATTGTTGTCTGCCCCAGAGCTGCTAAAATATGAACCTTGCTTTTTTAAGTACACATACAGTATGTAAAACCATTGTATAGAGCATGCTGGTCACTTCCATTTGTCGTCACCTCCAGAGTAATCATGGAGGGTTTAATCTATGTCTGTTTGATTACGAGAATTAAGCCAAGTCTTCAACGCTTCTTGTTCCTTTAGAAGGTGGAGGAAAGTCGTACATTAATGGCTGACAATATCATACTTCCTGTTTGTTGGCAGACTGCAAATCTAAGGGCAATTAGAAATTGATCCATGTGTTTTGGTGCCCCCACCACATGTCATTTCTGCTTGGATTTCGAAGCATTCTTTGCTGTTGAGACTTATTGTGTTTACCAGTTATTCAACATTGTATCTATGTTGGGCAAATTCAGTAATCAAGCATGATATGAACACATATACAGAAAATTGTCATTTGTAAAATGCATGTACGATGGTTAAGAAAATAACAAATTTGTTTGATTTCGTAGATTTTTATGTTCCTTAATTAAAATGTGAAGATTATATTATTGAAAGGGCATGGACTTGATGTTGAAGTTTATATTCTTCAAATTCCGCACTTAATGTTGCCAAAGTGGCGTAATAAGAAAGCAATTAAGTTAGAAACTTTTTTTATCTGAAAATTAGCATAACTATATGAGCTCGAGAGCTTATTTGTCATACATCCTTGCACTTTCACATATTAAGATTTATCCCTAATATATATGAAAAGTGACTGAAGTCTGTGGTGTATTCGTAAAAAAAAAATCCAGATGTATAATCAAGAAAAGTTAAAACTAACAGACTAGCCTAAGTGTTGTCTGTTCATAAATGTGTGCAGTATTATCAAATCAAGTACACTGGATATGCATTTCAATTACCGGTATATCATTTTGCTACATGCATGTTTTGTTTTAATTGGTTTTCTATGATGTAATCAATTAGAAATTACATTATCTGACTTATTTTAAGATAACTGGGAATGGAATGTTACATGTGTATACTATATGTTTTCTTTTCATTTCATTTCATTTCCAGAGTTGGACCAATTCCAAATGTCATGATTTATATAGGGCTATAGCTATACTTATAGCCCAGACCAAGAAAAATATTTACACCCTGTTGACTTTATATCTTTAAACCTGCCTTTTACAAACTAATAAAAGTATTTTATCCTGTGTTACAGAATGTGCGCCGTGTGTAACCGAGTGTTCAGTGATGCCACTTTTGTCCGATACCCAAACGGAGTTGTGACTCATGTCCATTGCGCAAAAAACAGACATGTCTGTCCGGTGACTGGGAAACTCTTCAGCACAAAACAATCTTGATGATACTCTACCAGAAATAGAAAACAAAACTTTTGGTGTAGACACACACAGTAATGTTCCTGGCTAAAAAGAATTTAAATATCTCTTTCTCCAATGCAGAAAAAGTGTGTGCAGTATAGATTCTTATGTTGATGGCATGCACCAAGGCAATGCAAATTTTACATTGAGCAATAATTTATTTTCTTTACATTCATCATTTCATAGTTTAGCTGTAACAATGTGTACATGTACATGTATAAAGTACAATAACTTACTATAGTACATGTACTTGCTAGAAACATTTTATATAATGTATGGTACAATTCTTGTGAATGTGTTCACTTGAAAATGCGAAAGGTCATAAATGCATTTTCATGGTGGTCTGAAGTTATAAATAAAAACGTGTTATTATATATGAATCTATATGTGCAAGCAATTTTCTGGTGAAAAGCTTGCTGAATTCCATGTTTCAACTATTTTGAAACTGTCTGTATAACAATAGTAGGTGAAGTATGTTCAACTGAAGAAAATCATATTAGGTTCTTGATGTTGGTAGCATTTGTGCATATGTTCTCTTTCATAAGATAACATTCTGCTTTGTTTAAAAGATAAAATAAAAGTTTTATTTTTTTCTTATCTTTAGGCACCAATTTCTCTTTTCTGTCTCTTCTGTAAGATTAATTCTTTAATTAAAAATATTTCTCATTTGTATGTTTTCTTACAGAAGGTAATTACTTCATTTCTGTTTCATATACAAAAGATTTCAAATGAAAGCACTTAATTCAACATTTTAAGCATATTTGCTTGTTGGAAAAATAACATTGTATGACATTTCCAGTCAGTTTGAAGTATAGTAATGGCATTGTTTATAATAACATTGCCCACTAAAAAAATATAAAACAATATATAGGTTGTTTGTATTCTTGGAATACCATTATATGTTGGTTATTTTATTTTATATAAACAATTTTAAAATTCAGCTTTTGACTTGTTCACATTCGCACAATTTTTAATATAAGTTCATAGTGTACTGCTGAAGAAAGTATTGAGAGGATTGAGGATCTTAAAATTGCTTGCAATTTTTAATTGAGATTTAGAATGAAATATTGCGAAATACATCCCTGTGAAAACAACAAGTAGTTGCAGTTTAGTACAGGCGAATATCCTGTGGTCCTGATCGATCTGAGATTGTTTCTATAACAGGGGCATTTTGTCAATATTGAACAGGTGTAATATAATAACCTGTTTACTGCCCTCCATTAGGAGTACAAATTAGTATATCCACTGAATTATGGATTACAAACGGAGTAAAGGAAAACCCTGATCACTTGCCGTTAATCAAAATCGTGCCCCCATCAGCACGCTGTCTCCTCCAAGTTCTTCCTCGATCCTCCCCCCAAATACTGCCCACGACCAGCTTAGTGTCAGTACTTCTAGACAAATCATCATTTGATTGATCACCGCCACTACAGGCTATGTGTGAGGCATTTGTATATCATATTGTGACGACACTAACACACCAATTCATTAAAAAAAGAATGGTTCAATCTTAATAAAATGTTTTACAATATGTGAATCACCAATACCCTTCATCGTAATTTGAACACCCACATTACTTTCTTTGCTGAGAGATTTTAACCAAGATAAGAATTTCAATAGGCTTTTGTCTTTCAACGTGGAAAGCTTTATTATTTAAATTTTGAAACAAACATGAAACAAGACCATAAGCGTTATTTTCCTATGATAAAACAAGGAAGTCAAAATCCAAAAGGAAATGCTGAAACACAAACAGATCTTCAAACTGAAGTCTAAAGTACTTTTATAGAGCCAAACAGTTTAACAGGCAGTGTTTCTAGGGGAAGAATTATATTCTTTTTTAGATATTTCAAAACAACTCCATTTTGAATGTTTATATTTTATTTTACCAAAATATAAGTCCTGGAGTAAATGAATAATACAGAATTCCAAGAACACTTCTATGATGAAGCATTCAGGCAAACAGAATGTATATAATATGGAATAATAATAATATAGGTGACAAAGATATAATAGTGAAACACACACTCCTATACATATATTGTAATTAAAAAATTGCAGTGTGAATCAATTCTTCTCGAGACCAGTACCAACTGAACGACTTGACTTCTTTAGTAAGACCTCTCTTTCTCTTCAAGTGTTAACTTGCTGAAAGGTCTCAAGCACTTTTCACTTTTTAGAAGAAGGGTTAAGGGTACAATGCTTCTTTTTACAGTATATGGGGAATGCTTATGACTTAAATAATCACAGTCAATTTTCATAACAAATAAGCCAGACTAAAACAATTATTGCATTTTTCTCTTTGCTAAGATCAATGACACGGGTTTACCACATGCATGTGCTGTTTTTGTTTAGAATTTTTGGAATGTACACATTATAAAAAGAAAAAAAAGTGCATATTTGAATTTTCTCTACTCCTTAAACATTAACATTTCAACAAAAACAAATACATTTAACAACATGAGACAAAATGTCAAGATATTATTAGCACAAAATGTGAATACATTTCAATATAGTGATACACTGATGCTGCGAGGCTTAAACCAAATGGAAGAAATAATACACAGAATATAGAAATAATCCACCTCTAATCAAGTTGATTAAAAATACTTGGAAATAGGTTTACCATTACTTTGGAATAAATGGGGGTACAAAAGTTAGATAATGCACTGCTACAATGGAACCTAATGAAACGTCGACATTGTTTCAGTGCTACAAGATAGTTTTAATCTCGATTAAAATGGTACTAACTGAAGCAGTATAGCACCGTTCCTACTATCTTTGGTTAAAATGGTGCATTTGAAAGAATTGAGCATACTTTTTGCTACAAGAAAAATTTTCTCATTTGAATCAGTTTTAAATTAGCCACATGAACATACCTAGTCTTTTCTTTAAGATTTTGTATGAAATGAACAGTTATCATCTACTAATCATTTAATTTTAGCAGTTCATCACCAGTCCTAGAACTAATAGGCACAAGAAATTGGAATGAGAAAGAATCTAATACATGGACATATTTGATTTGTCTTTTATGGCAAGAAGACACACAGAGAATTCACCAGAACTAATGCAATAACTACTAAATGAGATGGTTTCGATAAACTAAAAGTCCAATTTATTTTTTACAGATTACTTATATTATTTTTGGAATGTTGATTGTTTTACACAAACATATACACATGAATTTTATAAGGCCCAAATCACACTGAATGATGCAAATTTTTTGCAAAATTGAAGTTAAATGTAGCTATTTTTCAAATTTACAAACATAATTCCTGCATATTTCAAAATACATTTGACAAATAACAAGCAATTTACTACTTAAAAATTTAGCTACTGGAATGTTTGCATGAAAGCAATTTAAAAAAAACTCTGCTGCATTTTAATTTTGAGTTATACATTATAAAACAACTAGTTGTACAGTATCACACATGCAAAGAACACGTACAGCTCAAGTGTTTGAGCACAAAATGTTTAAATGATTATAATTCATTAAGCAATGACTGTTGTAGATATAGAATCCCCATATAGACTGATATTAACAAAGACTCCAGCTCTCTATTGTTTTTTATCTGATGAAACATTCATTTTTCCTTTTCCTTCATAATAATAGCAATTTTCTGATCACAGAGTGCCATATCCATGCATATATCCACAATGTAAATACACTGAACGTTTTATGCATAATATACAATATATCTCTTTAAACAAAAATTACGCAATATCTAAATGCACATGGAATTGGGCCTCACATTTTCTGAAGCATGTTGACTTTAGTTGCAAAATCCATTTGTCTACTCTTTTTGGGGTCCTGTTTCCTCTTGTTTGCTAAGTATTCCCTCATCTCTTTCGCAGACATCCCCATCATGGGGTCATTTGAATTGGATGCAGTGCCATTGGCAACAGGTTGGGGGGCCTGGATAGCAGGTTTAGAGGCCAGTGGAGCGGGTGATTCCTGTCAAATAATTTTAAAGTTAACACTCTTCCCAAATATAGTAAAATGTTGGACATCTAGTAAGGGAATTTCTTTAAAAAATTTACACACTCATCAGCCATCATGGTACATTATACTGATACCAACAAGATATATTGTCAACCTACTGCTCTAGATTCTAAATGATCTACAGATAACAAGTTCAATTGGTAAATAAAAAAAATTTGTTAATATGTGTCCTATGTTTGACCAGTTTATTTTTGTAAATGTTTCTAAAGAAATAGTTATTTAGTGACTATTCATGGTCCTATATATCTAAATAGTAATTTTTTTTAAAGAATGTAAATGCATGGTTGTCCCTAAGAACTGAAATAGCAGGGGATAAAAAAAAAGTAGAAGGGGGTCTGGGGTTCCTCCCTTAACAGGGGGTTGAAGGGGAATACAAGAGTAACCGGGGAATAATGTCATCATAGGTGGGGAAATTCCCCCTCCCCCAGGTCTTAGGGACAACCCTGTAAATGAATCTTAAAATGCTGAGAAAAGAAAAATGCAGAAAAACTATGAATTACTTTATTGTTTGTGTTAAGTTTACTTGTTACATGTACAACTCACTAACTAAACCTATGTAACTAATTAAAAGCTTGTCAATATATGAACTTACCGATGTTCCATTGACTGGGGCTGGTGTTGGAGCTGGTGCTGAGCCTGGAAAAAAATAAAGAAAGGTTCAACACTCAAGAAACATTTAAAATTTAAAAAAAAACACAAAACAACCAAAAAAAAAAAAAAAACCCACATACAAAAAACCCTAAAAAATAGTTAACATTATGTTAAGATTTCTGTCAAAAATACTAAAAAAATAATGGGACTGATACCCCCTGGGATCAATATCAAAGCTTGCATTTCAAAGTATACACATACCCACCACTTCTGCAAGTTTGGTTTGAATACCCCTTGAAGTAAGCCAAAGAATGCTCTAAATGTGAGGTGGGTCTACAGATGGACAAACACTGCAATTCCAGTATAACTTCTCTAAAACTTCTTTGCAGAGAGTTACAAAAAAAAATATCTGTACCCTCACTTCTGAATGCAAATATGCAGACAGTTTATAATAATAGAATATACTAGTATACCTTCCATTGTTTTAATAGCAAAGTCTGGTTTGACTAATACAATTCTGGGATATAGGGAATTCAAGGAAATCACAGGGAATAATTAGATATACATGTATTGCCTATGGTTTTACCTAACTATTATTGTGGCAATACCTTGCCAAGTCAAGTACAATCTTCCTCACATTCCCACAGAATATTTCAATTGTGTATCTTCTTCATGCAGTCTCTGATGATTTTATATATATATTCAAATAACAGATGTAAAAATTTGTACTATGCAGTAGAAATTTCAGAGAGGAAAGTGCCAATAAATTCTTGTTTTCAGGGTTCGAAATTCACTATATACAACTCGCAAAACGCGAGTTAGAATTCCCAAATTGCGAGTTAAAAATTAGGTAACTCGCAAAAACTTGCAAGTTGAGTTTTTTTTTGCATTGAAACTGTAGCAAAATTATATAATATGACAGAACACAATACTTTTGATTTAAATCAGTAATTTAAATAAAAGTTACACTGTAGTTGTATTTTTTGTATTGTACAGTAGTTACTTTTTCCTTAAGTTACATGTATTTAATTTATATAAATTTAACTTTATATGAAAATTGCGAGTAGTCTTATAAAATTGCGAGTTCACTTTGTTGGTACTCGCAATTATTTGCGAGTTGTAATTTTAGGGAGTTTCTAACCCTGGTTTTCCTTCCTTTAATAAAGTGTTGATGTTTCTTTACATTTTCTATGTGCCCTCTCCCATGTGTTTATTGTAAATTTTGTGACAATGTGTTAATCAAATAGTAATACATACATGTATGACAAAAAATCATAAACTATTAACATTTATAAATACAGTTCAATTTAAAAATTTGATAGCATTTACATGCTGTGTACTATAAATAGCAGGGAACGTGATATCCTAAATCATGAAGATCATAATTCTTTGTTTTATATGCATTCAAAGTATTTTATCAAACGGCTTAAATTTCTAAATGGATTCGTGCAGATTTACGGAGTGAAATGAATTTGTCACAAAATTTCTCCTGACTAAAAATTGATCCATATGTACTTTATATAGTTTTTGTATGTAAAATATAAATCATAAGAATAAAGTACATGTACTTTAAATATAGAGAGCTAATAAGAAAATGGAAAAAACCTTCACAACATGTTGAATGTCATGAATTCCTATCCTATCTCCACATGTTTAATGGATTAAGTTATTGCATATGTACCTGCAACATCTCCAAGTTAATTATTTTTAAGATTTAAGGAAATCTAAATTGTAGAATACACGTAACCCCCCCCCCCCCCAATCTGACTAAATGCAGCCACCTACTATCCATGAAATATCCAGTGGATTAAATGCATTCAGTATTAATAATTAACTTTATAAATCTATACATGCAATATGTTTGAAATACCATGTAGAAATGATCAAATATTAAAACAATATATGTTTGTGAAAGGCCAAAGGTTAAAGTTTTTCAAAGGAAGATCAAACTCAAGGATCAAAGTAATCAAATCAAGGAATACACTTGTGAAATATGAAAGCCCTAGCACCAACCATTCCAACGTTATGGCAAGGTTAAGGTTTTTCAAAAGTTGGTCAAACTCCAAGGTCAAGGTAAATATGTAATAAAAAAAAAAAAAATGTTGGTACCCAAAGAAAGGTTTTGCCATAAGGAATACATAAGTGAAATATGAAAGCCTTAGAACCAACTGTTTAATAAAAGTTAAGACCAAGGTTAAAATTTTTGTGAACAAACAGAAAGACAACAGACTAAAAAACTATGTACCCCCAATCTTTGATTACAGGGGCATTAAAAATCAGAAACTGAAAATGTGACTGATTGTTTTTCTCAATTTTAAACAGGTTTTTATTACCTGCAGGCAAATGTACATAGCACATATTGCAACTAAACTGTTCATAACACAAGTTGGGCAAAAATCTCTACCTACAGGACCTTTATTTGTGACTCATTTCCATTTGACATCATTTGTAATTAAAATTAGAAGAGCAACAGGTTTTAAGATTTTGACATATACACTAAAGAGCATCTGGTAATTTCCATATATGGTAAAATAAAATTCACAACGCTTTTTTTTTTAGACCTGGCAATATTTCTAGAGGTCTTCAAAGAAAACTGTTTTTACTTTTTACATATGTACAACATGCTATTCAGAATTGGCACTATTTCTACAGTACTTCACAGAAAATCATGTTTTTACATATGTATTATCAATGTGTAAGTGTGTCCATTATCAGATAGATATATAAAGGTGTCCATTGTTTTGGAGAGGGAACATGATAATAAGTACTGATTACTAACTGGTACCACAGGTTACTTACACCGTCACCCTGCCTTCCATGACAAATTCTGCACTGTCAAACAGAGACATTTTTATGCTTCTCAGTTTGCAAAAGTCTGAACTATTGTTTATGCACAGACACACGATACAGACCGATATAGACCGTTAAATGAAAAACTAAGGGACCAGCATCACCAAAACCATGAGTGCAACATTAAACCAAAAACATGCAAATATTGTACGGCTAAACGTACAGCAATATAATACTGTGCAGAATTTTTGGAAATTTTCTGCCAATTTTTTAAGTGTCACTGGTACCCTTTTTCTAATCCATTAGTTTAGTATGCTTTTGCATTATGTTTTTAGAATATTGGGTCATATACCTACTTTAAAATGCATTTCAGATGGAGTGCTTTCATGAAAGTACGTTTCTATTTGTTTTGATACTATACATGTCTTGTAATGTTTTAAAACAGACAAACCTGCCAGGGACACTTGGTACTCATTCAATTTATAAAAAATGTACACATTGTGTGAAGAAAATAACAGCAAAATATGCAATGATTGTGAAAATTGAGGCTGGCCATAAATATGAATTTAAACTGAAAGAGAAGTAAATATTATATAGTGCCAATTAAAAAGTCCCCTTTAATTTTATATAAAGAGTATCAGATTAGTATGGGCTAGTGCTTATCTGGAGACTAAAATGACAACAGGAAGTTCCAATACTTACACTCTTATTTAAAAAACACTTTGTCTAGCTCTAGCAGATGAAATTAGTATGGGTGTGCGATACTGCCAATATATAAGTATTTTTGCAATATCATTAAACCAAACAATAACATATATCACAGTATTTTTTTCACAACTGGTATTTATGATAAACTAACTAGAAGTATTACATAAATGCTAAATATGGTGTATCTGAATTCAAACTTGACTGCACTGAAGTTTTCTTGTTTTAGATATTGCTACACTGTTTAAAAAATTAAGCATAGGGTAAAAAGGATTAATATTTATTACCAATTTCACATTGTTCAACAACAATTCTGGTACATAATTAAAATAGGGTTTCATACTTTTATCAAAATGGCAGAAGAGATTACAATGCCTCAATTATGAGTCTTAAGTCAGTGTGCACATGTTAAAAACAACAAGCATTTTGAGAGTATTGCATATAAGCAATATTAAACCCCTACAAGCAAGTGTAATCTAGTTCCCCTTAAAAATTAAAAAGACCATAACTCTGTCAAAAATCATGAAGTGGAACGAAGGCTAACTTGATATGGGTACACACACATACCAAAAATCAGCTCAATATCAGTGCAAGTGTTGAGAAAAAAATGAAGTGGGACAGACTGACAAACAGAGGGACAGACTGACAGACAATCAGACAGACGAGGAGGAAACCTATAGTCTGGTTTAACCAACAGAGGACTAATAAAGGAAAAACTGATATATAAGGTGAAATTTCTGGTGGTACCTCAAATTGTTACACACATAAAGTAAGCACCTATCTTTGCAACTGTTACATATAAACTCGATACAAATTAGCAAATAACAATGATCATGAATTCAGAAGGTAATCAGTGGACAACAAATAATTTCTAGTATGTGTACTAAATGATCAGGACCAAGATAGGATGTTTGGTTTAATTTTAATGGCTGACCAGTCTACTAAAACTCCTTGAGAAAAGAGCAAGTCCAATATATTTATCACAACATACCACCAAATATTGCAATATATTTTTTTCTGGTGATATCCACTCCTAGAAATTAGCTAAGAATTTGGCAATCCTCTGAAAACATACTTAGCCACATATGAATGTTAATATTTAATACCACATACAAAATATTTCATAAAATTATTCCCCTCGCCCTCCCAAATCTTGGTACCAAAGAATAAATTTTTATGAACATATACCTTATCATACATTTCAGTATTTTTCAGTCTGTGAATTAAAATCATTTCTTACCTCCCCTGGCAGGATTTGATAGCTTGTTGACCATTGGTGATGAATTGGTAACAGTTATTCCATTCTTTTTGAAGTAAGCATCACATTCAGGATCAACTACTAACAATTTGGTCTCATTCCCTCCTGCCTTGACTCTTTCTATCACTTGCCTATGGCTCTCTGATTCAATATTTGTACCATTGACTTCAATAATCCTATCACCCTCTTGTAGGCCTGCTGCCTGGGCAGGGGATCCATCATCTATGGTTCCAATAAACTGACCAGGTCTGTCCCGTTCTGCATGGAGATTGAACCCATATCCCTGGAAGTCGGGCCATTTAGTTACGTGACAAAGTCTAGCGATATATTTACTTTCTGGCTCTGTATTGGTGACACTATTGACTGTAATCACAGTAGCTTCTGGTTCACTGGGTTCCTCATTTTCTTTGTTGGTTTCTGGTTCAGGAGAAGGTTCCCTTTCTGGTTCAGGTGAAGGTTCTCTAGGTGGTTCTGGTGTTGGTTCACGTTCTGGTTCTGGTGAGGGTTCCCTCTCTGGTTCAGGGGAAGGTTCTCTTTCTGGTGAAGGTTCTCTGGCCTCCTGTGGCTCAGGGGTAGGTTCAGGTTCTGAAATCATATTTAAAAATTGTATAAATTTCCTTCCAACCTAAAATCACAGAGTTGCACAGGTTCTAATGCTATGCATCTGAATAAAGAGTGTCTATTCCAGAATTGATGGACAGCGAGTGTTTCTGGGAAAGGTTGTGGAATGGTATTGTGGTTACTTGTTGTAGTAGACAATCAACATTTATTCATCTATACAAATGATATAAATGACTTTTACTGGCATATTTTTGACTAATATACTAATTTCCTGACTTGGAATACAAAGTAGATTTGCAGAAATAGTGCTTGAGCTGGCAAAACATTCAGGAAAGAATCACACCCAAGGAAAACTTCAAACTAAAAGGTATTCACTCAGAGGGTATGTACATTTTTCCTTTAATCTTATTAGAACTGCTTTAATCACAAAAAAAAATCATTAAATGTCTCTAATTCACAAAATAAAGTGCGTCTATATCCAAAAAAAATTTTGTTTACAGTAGAGAATAATAAATAATTGCATTATATATTATAAAGAACTAAATTCCTACTATTTTTCCTATTTATGTAAATTGACGCAACGTTTTTTTTTCTCTCTCAATAGGAGCAAATATTAAAAGTTTTACAAAGTTTGACACACAGATTCAAAATTATCACAAATCACATTTAAAGGCATAAATGAAAATCTTTGCTCATTGTATGCCAGTGTTAGTTTTATGGGTTACTGTTCCTTGTCCAGTGATGAACATCCTTAAGCAGGATTGTTAACCTACTCACACTACTTTTAAGTTTGCCTTATAAAGCTAATCAGAAGGTGCATAAGCCAGTGTGTTATGATTCATATAGAATAGTGTTATCTTGTATAAACAGTTCTATAATTCACAAGATATGGTAAAGTTAAAAAGACAACAGTGTGCTTGGTAAAAGTGGAATGCATTTTTATCTCATAAAAATTTCATGGGTTGCAAGCCTTTTATTCCATTTTTAAAAGCAGTTAAACATGTTAGAGAGTAAATAACTGTATCAAAATTATACATCTTAATATATTTGAAGCTTAAATTCTTCATAAAATTATTAGGTAAATTCTCACATGTTATTTCCCTTTTAAATCTAAGATTTTTTTTTTGGCTACAATTTCACTTGAAAAGCTATTGAATGTAAAATTTCAATGGAACTTTAAAGTATAAAACATACCTATATCAATAATATTCTCAACTGGTCTCTTACAGTTTGAACAAGGAAGTGTCTGACTCAATATGTTTTGGATGCATAGTTTGTTAAAACACAGATTTTACATGTACAAATATTAAATCACTTTCAGCATCAAATGTCAATTAACAGCAAATTATGTCACCGTAACTCCACTAAAATTATGTTTATATCAAGCTGGGAGTCTCAAGATTCTGAAAGTTTACATGAAAACCAAGGAAGTGTGTGCACAAATTAAAACAAAATGGAACATGAGGTCCATGGAGTATAATGCTCACCTGCACAATACAGAAGACTAATGATGTTTTATATATTAAAAAAAATATATATAAAAAGTTCAAAAATTTCCATTATTTCTTAAACATAATCCAAACACTTCACTTAAATTGGATTGTTAAGAATGGTGATTCAAATAGGTGTCAACCAGAAATCTGGCTCCTTGCACATTTAAATCTCCATCTGAGGAAAATTTCTTGTTTATTTTTTTTTTATATGCATCTTATCTTCAAATTGATTTCTGTATATAATTACAACCTTCCAAATCCATTGAACACTACCTAATACATTAGTTTTACAAACAAATTTCTTGTTTATTTTTCTTTAGACTTCCATTCAAAATTGTGGACTTTTCTGAAGTTCTTAACTTTCATCATCTGAACAAATATTTAAAGATAAATAATGAGTCAAAATCATGTATCATTTAATATGATATCTGTATCTCAAAGTGAAAGATTTATGAAAAATAAGACTATAGCAAAGTTTGACAAATCTAACTTAACTGCACTGTAAACATGGTAAAGCAAAACAAACAGCCAAGTTGATGAAATATATACAATGGACATTTGTATACAGCATATGGATTTAGCAGCTTTGGTATATAGTCTCTTTTACTTTATCTTCCACAAGCCAAGTTTTTCCTCCCATCTGTATAGTATTTCAAGAATGATCCCCGAAACACCCCTCATAACCCTCTTGCATGTTAGCGGTACCAGGGACAGTTCAACACTAATGTTAGTCTGTTAGTCTCAGACTAATACATTTTCATTCAGACTAATAAATTCTGTGGCAAATTAGTCCAAACGGACCAATAAAAATTTCTGGAAAACAAGATGAATATTACCAATGTCCGATTCTTGACAACTTTTACTAGAAAATCTGGATTGTTTTTTAGCTTTCAAGCTTCTTGGTGGGTAGTTAGATAATTCCGAGTCAATTCAGTGCTTAATTTTATGACTGATTGATATGAAGTTAAATGTTTTAGTGATCATGATTTAGTATGACACATAAAAAGAAAGATGTCGGACATTTTGAATGTAATGTAAAGAGGAATAAACAACATTGGGAATACGATCATATACATATTTCCTGCTCAAGAGATTTCAGAGAATCCGTGGAATAAAAAACTTCACCTAATTATGCTTTGTTTATGTCAAATAAGTACTTTGTAAATTAATATTTATTTGTTAAAAAAAAAAAAAAAATTACAAAACATTGATGTCTCTTTTTTGGACGTGCGGACTAGAAAAAGTAAGAAAGCACTAGTCCGGACAGACTAAAGTATAATAAGCTGGCTATTGCTCTACGAGCAATGAGCCCCGCTAAAAATGTTAGTGTCGGATCCTGAGGGATGTCCATAAGACCCAGGGAAATTTCTCTGCCTATTATGACATAATGCCCCCATTATTCTGGTATTCCCCCTCAACGAAGGAACCCCAGACCCCCTTCTACTTTTTAATGCCCCCTGCTATTTCAATTCTTAGGGATAACCCTAGAACTTAATGCTTTTAGTTCTTGTCTGTATAATATTAATAGGACTGCATTTTGTGTATATGCACAACAGGTATCAAAATACATACATGTACATTTTGTTTTGTTTGTGAAGATTTTCCACATTACTGAATTTTCTCTTTCCCTGAAACCTAAGTGTGAAAGGAAAAGAAATTGGAACCCGACCATGTTCCCACTCTCTGTATGATTTTAAAATTGGGTTTCACTATGGAAATGCTGCACGCTATAAACCGAATCATGTTACAAATTATCTTGTTTACTTCATCATGTTCATACTGTCACAAATTAAATGAATATAAAAAATAACAGTTAATCTACCAGGAAACGTTTGCTAAATATAATATACTATTATTTTAGTTCTTCCTCCATTATGTGTCATACGATATAAACCTGCCCATATTACAATGACTCTAGCAGTTATTTCAAAGTATACTGTATCTCCTTTCATAATTCAGAAATGTCAACAATTGAAAAGCTTGTGGAGTTTTAAAACGTCTTTACAATATACAGCTTCATTGAGAGACGTGGGATGGGGCGTTATCTGTGAGCCTTTAATCCAGTTTGGGGTACAATTTTTAGCCGTGTACAGACTTGTCTTCTCTCTTATCAATCACTCCCTCTGACTGACCCTTTATCTATTCTATGTAAGCTGTCCTAATAGTTAACAATGAGTACAATTCTTAGGTATATATATATGTCAATAATAAAATTAAATTCTACCTGTATGTATTACCTGCATATGGGGAAGTTAGATGCTACTGAGTGGTTGGGGAGGGTAGTATTTAATTTGCAACTTCTGTCAATCTAAAATTCTCATGGGAACATGCCCCTGATACTTTCATTATACTTCTGTGGTTTACTCTTTTTGTTAATATTCAAGTGTAATTCATATAATGAATTTCAAATAATAATTTTTGTCATTTTAATTCTGTATGACTGGAAAAAATTGGAAACACTCATACCAATCACCATATTTTTCAAACTTTGAAAACTTATATTAAAATTTCCCAATTTCATTTCATCCATGTGATCAGGCATTTCTGTGTCTTAAGTCTTAAAATAAAGTGCCTTCACATGAAAATAGAGAGGAGATTAGGTCACACCTGAATGCCCATCAAAGAAAATTTATACAAATATTCACTACAAATGTCTTATTTAAAAGGCATCAGAGATCTGTCATATTCTGCACTGCTGAACATTCTGAAACAAGCCGAGGAATGGGTCCATTCTCCACACCTGTGTACCGCATTTTATGCAAAGTAAATGATTCTCATTAAATGGAAACCTTGGTGTTTTAAAGAAAAAAACCCAGCCCTGATGAATGTGAGAGGTCAAAATAAAATGTGTATGGAGAGAGAGAGAGAGAGAGAGTAGTGTTTTTTGACACAGCACTCAGTGACACCTCTGGTAGTCACTCCTACTAAGATGTCCCAAAGGACAAATTAGAATATCCTCATCAGTACCTGCTGAATTTTCCTGGCTTTCACCTTTCTCCGCACTTATTTTTACAACTTCAGGAAGATCACTCCTCACAATTTGTTTAATATCTTTATAATAAGAGTCCGTTTCCTGATCCACCACTAAAAGATTCACCTCGTCACCAAGCGATTTGATCCGCCCAACAACTTGTTGGTGGTTTTCGTTTCCTATATTAGTTCCATTGATTTCAACGATTCGGTCCCCTTCCCTTAAACCTGCTGCTTCTGCCGGGGACCCCTCGTCCACTTTTCCTATGAATTGTCCCGCTTTGCCCCTCTCGGCATGCAAGTTAAATCCATACCCCTGGAAGTCGGGCCATTTTACCAAGTGACACAATCTAGGCTTGTGATCAGCCATGACTTATTTGATCAAAATATACAAATCCACTTAAAAAAAGTTTATAGTTTTTTTCCGTAACGGGCACCTGCAAGTTGACACTAAACATCAAGCGAAGAAAATGGCGTCGAGCTATGCGAACACGTGATTTAAGTTAACCAATGACGAAAGCTAGTGGAGATTTCAGACAGGTATTCACAGGTATATATCAAAGAGCATTTCGCCATAGGTGCAATTTAAAAAAAAGTGTGACACTTTTTTTCCATTCATTTTTGATAAACATTATGATACAAAGCTTAGCCACAGAGATCGAGCTGATCAAGTGGGACAAAAGGACTTATTTCAATTTTCGTACTTTAATCCTAATCGTAGACCTACGTTCTTGTATAGTTAAGGAAATTGTAAATATGTTGTAATGTACGGTTTGCCTATGTCCATATGCTTTTAATAATCTTTAAGAAGACATAGATCTATAAACAATATAGATACGTATGTTACTGTGTAATGCGAACAGGAAACACGTACTAGAAATATACGTTTAACGAAAATAGCAATCTCTTTTTAACATAGAATATGTACAATTAAGACTTTATGATGATAGAAATCTATATAAAATATGAGCACCTACATGTAGTATATATGAGCACGATGATAATCAAATACATTCCGAAAATGCTATCAAATCGACACAAATAGAATAAAACAACATGATTTGAAAAATGTAATTGTTAGAAGGCAATATGCGCAGAAGATCTAGACTGGGGGGGGGGGGGGTACACGGTGCACCCAGCTTCGGATCTGCAGAGATACAAGTATAATTTTTTTTAAAGAGTAAGATATATTGTTTATTCACCTATCAAGGGCTCACAGGAGGCATATACAATTATGTAAGTGTTATCAAAATAAATTTATAGTAGTACGTTACATAAAATATAATCACTTCTACAATGGAATTAAATATGGAAGATATAAAATTGTACCACATTATGAAATTCGTGTAAACGTAAAATATTTAATATTTCCTCAATTGTCTGAAACTGGGTAATAAATATATCTAGAAGAGGTACAAAAACAACATTATGATATAAAAAATAATAATCATAGCGACATACTGTTGCATATAGTGTAAAAAGGTGGCTTAGATACAGAGAGCACATAGGACGATGCATGTGTACAGTCAATCAGACTGGCAAACTTGTACTGTAAGTATTCAAGACACTCATCCAATATTTATTTAAAAGTGATGGGGAAAAATGTACAAAGAATTATGTATTTTACCAAAAGAGACCAATATGAAGGAAAGCAGCTTATCCATGAGAAGTGTCATATCCCCCCTCGAAAATAGGTGTGTGTTTTCCCCCTCCTTTTCCCTCCTGCCAGAAAAAAAATGAGTTGATTTTTTTTTAGTGAAATTGGATTGACCCCCCACCCCCAGCTTCCAGAATTTGGATTTACCCATGGGCAGATCGGATGGCATTTGAACAAAACGGATTGTGAAACATGCATATAGTTGGTACTATACAAATAATAATTTTAAAAAAAGATCAGAGAAATGTCACAGAAAAGTTCTTTTATACTATACCTCTGAACAATATATATTACAATATTAACAATATATATTACAATATTAAAATTTCGTGAAAAAAAGAAACTCTATAAATTATTGAAAGAGAAAGAGAGAAATACTTGAACATTTATACATGTACCTGAGATGGAGTCATCCATGTTTGAGGACGGCGGAGATCTGACTAACAAGTTTTACGGAAGCTTTTCACTGTTTACGTTTTTTTTTCAATCGGAGCTGCAGGACAAATTCTTACATATTTTTGTCGTCTATCTTTGTGCATACATTTGCATACAAGGCTAAACTAAATTGCACAAACAATAGCACAAAGGTTTTCATTTTGATAAACGAGTGAAATAATAGTCCGTTTCCCTCGGAAAATTAATAAAAAGTGAGTATTGAAAGGAAGCTTCAAACTCATTTAAAGCAAAGAGAGAAGTTATTTATTGTGTGGGTGAAACATTAATCTTTTGATTTTCTCATTAACCCCTCCCATTTTTTAATGATAGCACTTAGGGCAAAGAAAGATAACCCGTACGCGGTTTTCAGGAAAAAAGTTTTTAGTTTAGTTTAAAATATATTTTATTCATTACAAATGAAATGGATTGAACAGCAGGCATAATGCCTATAATCGTTCTCTCCATAGGTCAAGGTACATATAACAATTATTGGTACATTTAACATTGAAAGCAGTATGTAAAATAGATCATTAATTGGTACATATATAAGGTGAATCCAGAGAAAGAGAGAGTAAAATAAAGAGAAAAAAAAACATAATAAAGTACATTTAACATTGAAAAGCAGTATATAAAATAAACCATTAATTGGTACATGTATAAAGTGAAAAAAGTTTTTTAAAAATATACCTTCTTAAACAAGTAATTGTATCACCGACTAAACGCGTATGAATGTTTGAAACATACTGTTACAGAACATTTATCACAAAAATAAAATTGCTTGGCCACGAAAGCAGAATACCAAAAGCATCTAAACAATAGTTTTCTTTCTTTTAAAATGAATAGAGACCATACTTACGCTCGCTTGATCTATGTACATCCATGTTCAAACCTTCTTAAATATCCATCATGTTGACTAAGGTTATGAAGTTTTTATATAAATCAACACAATTTTAGGATACAAGTGATGTAAACCTGAAACCGCACTTCGATTTCAACGACTTACTCAAGTAGAAGGAGGAAAAGTGCGGTTGTCCACTTTTATTTTGTCTTCTCATTTAAAGTGTCCCGTTTCCTCAGGTTTAGAGGCATAAGGACTTCGTACAAACATAATTACTATTTTTTTTAGAGAACCCTATCAAGTATTATAGCTAGTTTGCGAAGAAGTCCAATCCAGAAAACTAAAATCGAGAATGTCTCACAATATAGACTTACATAATCTGTGCGAAACAACAGTTTATCATGTTTCATGAAAATGGAATTCACATTGATAACAACATTGATGATACACCCAAGTTCACATGTTCTTTAAAATCGATCAAATGCTATTTGCAATATTTTTTTCTTCGCTTTGCTCTTATTAAAGCATAGATTTTAAATGCATCTAGTAATTTTTAAAAATTCCCTTTCACTTTTTCTGCTCGCGAAAATTTAATTCTCGCGTATACAGTGTATCTGTTATCATTAAAGAGTAAAGACTATATAGAATAATCATGAACCAAAATTCCTGAAAAATATTTCTTGTTTATGAATGCCAAATGACTATCTCGGGAAAATAAAGTGTTGCGAAAATTTAATGATCTACAGTAATTGTAAAGCTCAAAATACAAACCAAAATCAGTACTATTATTATTACAGGGATTTATCAGTACCTTCTCAGGGGCCGAAATTCGGCCCCATTCCTAATTGAAAATAAGTTCAATTTTCCAAATTTGGCGCTTCACTTAAGTAATACGTAGCTTAATATAGTGAATGATGTTGACCAAAATTTCTAACTTGATTGCACACAACTCAATATTTACACTTGAAAAAGCAAACTACTGTATGGTATGTTATGTTTTATTATCCCCTCGTTCACCTTTATTTATGTGATTGGAATGGGAGAAGATCACACAAAAGATGAATAAATTAATATATATATATATATATATATATATATATATATATATATATATATATATATATATATATATATATATATATATATATATATATATATATATATATATATATATATATATATATATATATATATATATATATTTATCCCATGTTTACCCCTTTATCCCGTGGATATGACTCATTGGATAATTTTTTCATATTCCACCTTTGTGACGTCACAATGGTTTTTGCGTTAGAGTGATGAAGTAAAATAAAGTGAAGTCCTGTATAAAACAGTGTAAAACATTGGTTGTGACGTATTAAACATGGGATAAAAAGAATATCCCATGATTTGTAGTTGGATATGACTTTTATCCAACTCGTTGTGTGTTTTTATCCCCTCGCCAAGGCTCGGGGATAAAAAACACACAACTCGTTGGATAAAAATCATATCCAACTACAAATCATGGGAGATCCTATATATATATATATATAGAGAGAGAGAGAGAGAGAGAGAGAGGATATTCAATGTTTTGTAGTTGGATATGGAATCTATTTCACGAGTGTAGGGACAGTATTTTTTGATATTTTCACGAGTGCGAAGCACGAGTGAAAATATCAAAAAATCCTGTCTTACGAGTGAAATAAATTCCATATCCAACTACAAAACATTGAATTTTCTATTTATTACATTTTCTTTGATTTTCCCTTTGCCTCTGTCTTTTCTTAACACAATGTAATATGCTGTGACGTCATAGTTGAGCAGTAAAGATGTCATGGCTTAGCAGTTGTGAGATGAAAACATGGATTTTAGCAAACATATTTGGGAAGAAATTGGCAGTTTTAGTCTCTGTCAAGATGGTTTAGTTACTATCTCAATCTTATTACAGGCCAGAAAATATATTTTACTTACTTTGATATCCTTTCACACTGTGAGAGAATATTACTTTGGTATCCTTTCACACTGTGAGAGAATATCACTTTTATTCATTGAATAAATCACAGCATTTCACTGTTGAAAATGTAATAAATATATATATATCAAGGCAGCATTCGATCCCGGTGCAAATCATGTCACTTCCCTTACGCACACAAGGACAAACTAACACCCCCCCCCCCCCACACACACACACAATTGCGTTACTATATCCCCTCCATCTCCGTTGCGAGGGGTTAATAAACCTGACACAAATATACAGTACTGAAGAGCGGATCAGATGTTTTATACAAATAGCTGTATATGTTGAAAATTACTTGAATCTTTACTAATTACCCCCCGTACCCACCCACCCACCCACCCCCCCCCCCCCCCACACACACACACACACAAGTGAGGAGACATACATGTAATTTGACAAAGTTGTTTATTTGTTTAATTGTCCATTTCAGTTTTTTTTTGTCTGTGTTAGAAATTGAAAAAGAGCTATAGCTCGAGAATCCTTGAATAAAACAATCGAGTCATATTTGTGTTTGTTGTTGGCCATGACCTAAACGTTTATCACAGGATCTTGACTCTATAGATCTAT